CTTTTCCCGCCAAATTCATTAATTATTGTCTAAAATTAGTAACTTAAAAAACTTTCATTAATTACATATTGTAATATGGAATAGATGTTTTTTCCTATTAGAATCTCTATAAATATGGAATAGATGTTTTTTCCGATTAGAATCTCTATAAATATTTACTTAACAAAACTTTCTATTATATATAATAGATGTTTTTTCCGATTAGAATCTCTACAATATGGAATTTAGAATCTATTCTGTAAAAAAATAATTAAATCTATACTTATATAAAAAGCTATCTTATTTACTATAATTTGTAATAAAAAAAAAGTCAAAGGTAATTAATGTATTATATTTTTATTAAGTATTTTATTTAATTATTTATTTAATTGTTTTATCCCACAACACCTTTTCAATACAACTTACCATGATTTTTCTATTGTGATTAAAAATCAAATTTTACGTCTACAATCTTGTGAAATTATTATTATTATTTTTTTAAAACACATATTATTTGTTAAAAAATTGTACATCACAGTATATATACATCACAGTACCATGATATATATATAAATATATATATATATATATATATACATTATACACATCACAGTACCATGATAGATGATTGAACATGATTTAAATTTCAATCGAACAAAATGTCAATGATTTAAATTTGAACACACCTATGTGTTTGACCAAATGTCTGGATGATTTAAAATTGAGCCATCAAAAACTATTTAAATTTGAACACACTAGAAATTTGATGTACTTTTTTATTTATAAATATATTAAAAGTGGTATTTAATGGTTGTTATATAAATCATTTTAATATATTTGTCATGAATAAAAGTTTGAATGAATAATTTATAATGTTATTCATTATGTTTACGACTTATGATACACGAACACATAACCGCATACATATTTGCCAGAAGGCAGCTTAATAATTTTCATAGATTGTTCAAAACTGTAATGAATTAACAAATTGTGGAATAAAAAAAATCATGAAAATGTTTCATACACTGATAAAAGACTAAAAAATAATATGAAATTTTTCTATGTTTGTTTAGATAAACAACATTGATCCAACAAGTTCATCTTTCCTGTTTGGTCAAAATAATAATCAAACTAATCAATAAGCAAAATATTTGGTCAAATTAATAATCAAACTTTATAAATCATTAGCAAATGAAAATCAATCTTAATTGAATGTAGAGTATGTTGTAAAATTGAATGTACAGTATGTTGTAAATCAATTCACACGGTCAAATTTGTGATAATTAAAAGTAACAAACTAAAAAAAAAAAAACAAAAACAAAAAGTTTAGATCACATGTGACATGCATCTCGCTCCGAGGAAACCTTTATCTTAATTATAGCAGAATGATGGTTGCATCTAAATTTTTAATCTAATAGATGTGTAGAAAAATATGATGGATAAAAACCTCATCATAACGAGAAAACCTTATCTTATAGTAGAATATTGGCTGCATTTAATAATTTTTTTTTTATTTGTCAGCATTCTAGCTATACTAAGTAAATAATTATATCATTAAGAATATATTATAGTTATATTATCAAATCATAAAAAGATATTAAACCTATATTGTAAAAGAAATCATATAATTTTATAAAAATTTTGCTGCACTATTTAACAGTATTCTTTTTTATTATATAATATACAAAATAGTAATTAAATATTATATGGTGAACAAAATAAATAAAATTGTTACTCTCTCTTATATCAATGGATAAATTTATATGCTAAAATTAAATTTTTATTAGTATAAATGTTTTAGTGAGATAATATATTAATTATTTTACAAACTAGCCTAACATGCTAACATTTAATGTTCTGGCTAAAAGATGTGAAAAAAAAAGCTTATGACTCTATTGTTTTTTTGGCTTAATGTTGATTAAAAGAGGTAGAAAATAGATAATAACCCTATTACTTTTTAGACTTAAACTAAAAAGACTGTGAAATAACTCATTTAATATCTCTGTCTCGTGCATTGCACGGGATACGTACTAGTAATGATAAGAGTAAACTGAGAATGCTGGAAGATAGAGGTACGTAGTACAACATGGAATTAATTTCGACTGCGTGAGCACGTTCTAAATATTATTGATGATGTACGAGTGGCTATTCTTCAATTTCGAATTTTGGTACAACCATGATATTTTCATACGGTGTCGGTGGTTCTAGGTAATGCTGGGTTATAAAAAGAGACGAGCTCTCTTGCCCAATAGCCGCACACCGATATATACATCTCTCTAATCATATTAATCACAACAAACATGATGAAGAAGATGTTGGACACTCCTCCTCTCATCTCCCTCGCCTGTCTCCTCCTCCTCCTCCTCCTCTCTTGCGCCGCTGCCCAAAGCCCGATATTCGACATGAAAGGCGATGAGCTGGAAACCGGCGTCCAGTACCGCATCAGGTCGGCCACCTGGGGTATCCGCGAAGGGGACCTCACCGCGGACAACCTGGACACCTGCCCTCTCAACGTTGTCCTGGCCAACTCCGGGCCAGGCCTCCCTGTGACCTTCCACCTGCCCGACGCATCGAAAGAGGCTTCGCGTCCCGTCCTCACCTCCACCAACCTCAACATCCAGTTCGTGACGGCCTCCGCCGGCTCGTCGTGCAACGACGGCGGCGTCTGGGCTGCCCGAATCGACCCCATCCTCGGGGCGTTCTTGGTGAGTACGGGTGGCGAGCTAGGGGCCCTGATCAGCACGTTCCAGATCAAGCCGCAGGGGGCATTCCACAAGCTGGTGTACTGTGTCGTGGGCCTGTGCAAGGACCTCACCATCTTGGATGGCCAGCGCCTGGGCACGACCTTCGACCCGTTGGGATCTCACAAGCCGTTGATAGTGATCTTTGAGCGAGTTCAAGCTGACGACGACGCCACCATCAAGATTAAGATGCCTACTGATGAATAAAATCAGGCGTTGAGAAAGCTAAATGAATATGATTACCACTTAATTACCAGTTACCACCCTTAATAATCCCTTCACTACGAGGTTGTGCACTTGTGCTATGTATGTTCGTGAGTTTGAATTTTCATTATGTATGTACGTGGGTTTGAATTTTTATTATGTATGTTCGTGGGTTTGAATTTTTTTGAGGAATAATATACGGTGCCCCGGTTTTACGAACTGATTTTTGAAGAAAAAAAATGAAGAGTAGCAATGTTGGTTGATAAAATGAAAAATGCCCATGTATCATGGCCGATTGGCTTTCATTTCATGTGTTAGCTTCTCCTCCTTCGAGTTTGGACATTGGCTCATGCATGATCCCCGCCGTATCTTACTTAACGCATAGGCTTAAAGCCTCCTTTCTTTTAAAAAAAAAAAAATGTTTCAACTATAAAAAAATAAATAAAATAAAATAAAATAATCTCTCAAATTGAATGTTCTGCGTTTCTCCTAAGGATGAAAACGAAAACGAATTTTCCCGACCGAATCGCATCGTTTTCTACATTTGA